TTCAGTCTTTTTTTTTCAGACATTCCTTCAAGGGTATGTCTAGACTGCGGGGGTTTTCTAGAATATTGGAGGTATCCCAGAAAAACTCCGCTGCATCCAGAGAACGCGTTTGCTCTTCCGCTTTTTCATGTGGAAAAGGAAACACGCTCTGTCGGGGAGCCCTATATACCTCATTCTATGAGGAATATGGGCTCCTCTGCAAGAGGAGGCTTTTCTGCCATTTGGCCCCATCTAGACAGGGCCAAATGGCGGAAAAGCCTCTTCTGGAAAAGCAATTGGAAAAAGCTATTCAAATTGCTGAGCGCAATTTGCATAGCTTTTTCTGAAAAAAAGACGATAGTGTAGACCTAGCCCAAGTGTTGAGATGTGGGGGGAAGGAGAAGAGGCCAAGTGATGACATCTCTTCCTCTCTATACCTTCTTCCAGCTACTAGAAAGATCCTTGCTGTGATGGGGTGTAGAGTCTCCATTGTGTACCAGTCTTCTCTGAGAAGCCTTTGGAATAGTGGATTGTGTATTGATGAGCCATTAATAACCACCTGACTATTGATGGCTATTGGCTAATCCTTTGTTCTAAGGTTGTGGATGTTCCCAGCCTCACAACATATTACAGTTACACATAGCAATACTGCATAACATCACATACAGTGATAGTACATGCAATCCAATGGGTTATTATTGTTCAACAGATGAAGACTTACAAAATGACAACTTTATAAGGCATACTTTGTACAAAAACATCATACTATCACAGTGTTGAATAGGGAGTTCCAGGGAGCTGCTTGAGGTACAGAGTGTCATAGTATCTCCCACAGTTTCCATTTTGAGGCCTTGGTGTCAATTGGAAACGTTTGTGGAATTCTTCCTGGACTTATTTTTGCTGGTGGCTGCAGCTTGCCCATCTGTGACTCTCTAGAGCAGTGTAGAACACCTGTGTGCTATACTTTTAAAACACACACTAGATCAGGGTTAGATCTTGATGTAAAAGCCAACCTCAAATTTCACAGACCTTAAAATTCCATGAAAGAATCTTCAGTTACATCTTGAGAACAGAATTTGTTTGAATAAAAAATGCTATTTTCTCCATATTAAGCCAGGGGAGAGGAGTTAATGTAAAAAGTAATCATTGGAGTAGTCAAAAATATAGAATGTATTCTGTACTCATTCAACCTTCCTCATTTAACATTGCTTTTTAGGTAGGTAGCTTATTTTTCATTCCATGTGGGTTTTTTTGAACCACAAGTATGTCAAAGCAAGCAGTGTAAGAACTGGGTTAGCTACATGTCAGAATAGGCTCATTAGCAACCACTACTACTTCAGCCATCAAATTCATGGCAAGATTGTGCCCCTTCTTCATGATAGGGAGTATTGTACTTTGTGAATGGTCCCATCTACTTTGCTTGGACTGTTGAGTCCTACCCCCCTTTGTGAGTAAAGGCATAATAAAAATCATAAATCACTGCCCATCCTGCAAGTGTCTCAGCTCCCAAAACTTTAGTAGGGAGATGCTTAGCACCCTGCAGGAGCAAGCCCTATTGCTGCCCAGTGCCTGCAAACACTGAGGGCTAGACAGTGAGTCCTTTATTTTCAGAGGTGAGCAGGTATTTGCATAAGTGGTCCCAGTAAAGCCAATGGAACTACTCATATGAGAAACTGCTTCTGGAAGGTGGAGGGGAGGGGATAATGCACAAACGGCCTTGCCCTCAATGTTTATCGTCTGAGGATGTATACATATTGTGGCTGTTGAGAGTTCTGATTATACAGTGCCTTGAGGCTATTTGGTCTGCGGCTATGTGTAATTGCCTTCTAATAGTCTTATAGCATTGACACTTGTTAGACAGTACAGTGGTACCAGTGATACAAGATTTGTGACAGGAGGGCTTCTTTGAAGTTCTGATGTACAAAGCATTTTCATTTCCTCACCATGCACGTTCCATTCAGCAGCCCCTTTTTCTTGCCATTTGTTTTTGATTCTGACATAATGTGCATATTTCTCCATCCCCTGGGGCAGCTTTGTGGGAAAGGTATGCTGTAATTGGTCTATAACTGTTCATAATGATCTGGGAACTCTGTATGAACAACAACAGGGAGCAACTTAACTTGTGATTTATTTAAGAGAGTGACATGGTTGAAAGGTACTCTCAAGAGCGCAAGTGTAGCTAGTCACCTAATTGGATGTAAATTTTCACATTTATTTCAGAACAGAGAGGGTTCTGTCATGAATTTGAATTTATAAGCAAGTGTGTATACTCTTCAGCTAAATCATAAGCACAGTTAATAATCTGTTTTAGGGAGTCTTAAATTCCACATTCAATAGGTTTTAGTGTACAGTTTGCTAGAAGAATACAAGTTATGCTCTGCATTTGTAAAACTAATGAAATATTAATTAAAGGTTTTATTTATTTACATCTAGAAGGACTGACCTCATTTTGATACATTGACATACACTTAGTTTTTTAAAAGCTGAGATCGGTAATGGGGCTTTCGCGGTAGTCTTTTATCAGTTTTTCTGGCTCCTGCTTATTTCCTCAAGGATCTGAAGACTCCATCTCACACGACACCCAAAATGCGGGCAACCCACCAGCTGCAGGGCATAATAATTCTGCAGGCAGAACGACACCCCTGGTAGTTATAGGGCCAAGGGTAATAGCCCATGAGAGGTTCACAAATTCTCTGGCACTGGGTGTAGCTCCGTCTACATTCAATACAGCACACGCCTTCATGGTCCAGCATTGGGTCAAACGTCATCCCTTCGCCTTCAAGTTGCTGAAATGTAAAACACAAAATAGAGAAGATGGAGTTCACATTATCCTCACGAAAGACAGCAGGTGAAATACTGGTCCCATTGGAGTCAATAGCAAAACTCCTGTTGACTTCAAGGTCAAGCTTTCAGAGGCCTGCTTTCCGACTACTTCATTCCACAGTTACACTGGACTCCCCATATAAAACACAACCAGACATCAGGCTGTCTGAGTTTCATTATTATTTTACTCTCCTGCTGTAAAGCTGTAATTACGGAGAGTTTAATAGTGGTAAGATTTGAGTTACAATAATAAGAAATGGAAAAGAACTGAGTTATCCAATCTATCCTGTGCATGTGGGATTGTGGCCTACTTTACATTGTCTAATGCTCTATCCAGTCTAATTTTAAATAAATCCCAAGCGATGGCACTTCCAGCTCTTTCCCAAGAGGACTGTTTGACAGCCTGTTACTGCAGGCTTTCCCCATATTCAGATTAAATTTACTTTGACTTTAACCACCTCTTTTCCCATTGGTAATGGATTCTAGACAACTAACATAATAGCACCATCTTAACCAGGAGGCAAGGAGTTACCACACAGTGAATGGCAGAGGATATCAAGGTAGACTAGCCCCCGCTCAATTCTTAGCCCCATGTTTTCTAGGAGAGGAGGCACAGTTCTCAGTTCTTTGAATCCAATTCTTTCTTTCCCTCTAGTGTAGGGCAACTAAACTTTGGAAGCCCCCAGGGGCCATAATGATACTCACAGCACATGCTGAGGGCCGCAACTTAAGTGTGATTGCATATACATGCAAATATATATGCAAATAGCTTCTTTCACACTGACTGGCCTGAATACAAAGCTTCAGGCAAGACTACACAACACGCAGGCCCCATTTAAGTCAGTTCTGCTGATATTAATAACATGCAATATTTACCCAATGTCCACCCATATGACAGCACTTTTAATGAGCAAGGACAGTCCAGGAATTTAACTACTAAAACACATATCAACAGAAGACCATTATATTGGCTTTTTTTTTGTTTTGACTCTCACCTGCAAGCTGTGTTGAGCCCTGCATAAACTCAAACTGCACTGCGGGCTGCAAACAAACGGGCCACGGGCTGCATGTGGCCTATGAGCCACATGTTGAGTAGCTCTACTCTAGTGCTTCCTCAATGGGATTAGAGGAGAAGAACAAGGGCAAATCAAACAAGAATGCCTCACTCTTGCAAAGCACTTTTCATATATTGTTCTCTGAGTACTTCACAAAGAAAGTAAAGTAGCGTTTCCCTCATTTTAGAGACTGGAAAACTGAGGTACAGGAATGCGGAGTAACTTGCTCAAGGTTGCCCCCTATTTGTTATGCCAAACTTCCCCAGGAGAGGAAAGAAGGGAAAAGAGGAGAATGACAATGCTCAGCTAACATCAAGACTATGCATCTGTCTGGTAAACCAGTGGTGTAGATTCCCAATGCCTAACAGAAATATTGGAGAACATCTTCCAGAGGATCCTATACCAAATGAGTAAGTGATAGAGGATATCTTGAGGGACTCCATTTGGTCTCCTGGCCTCCACGTTGGGTTAGGCAAGCACATCACTGAGGTACCACTTCACTACCATTAGCTGTAAACAGCAGCACAGGGCTCCAGTGTTCCCTGTAAGCTGTGTGCTTGTTCAGCCATTCAGAAGAGATTCAAATGCCACGTTTCTGATCAGCAGAGTGCCCACCGCTGGTTTTTTTGTTTCTATTGGTGGTTCACATTTCTCAGTGCATATAAAATTTATTCCTCGCGGGGTTAGAAAAAATCCACACATGGAAAATTAGAGGGAACACTGCGTGGCACTAAGAAATATGCGGCGAAAACAGTGGTGAGGCAGTTGTTGAGAAGGATGCTGGGTACATTAAAAATAACATTGCTATGTGGCATGCACTCTGCAGATCTCTGACAGGAAAATATTAAGAAAAGTAGAAACTGTCAATCAAGCCTGTCAACAGAGTTTGTAAAGAGTATCTGAGACACAGACAGCTGAGGAACGATGCAAGGAGTGTAGAGGCCGAGATGCAGGAGAGAGAGAGAAGACACAGAGACTAGAGGGAGATGAGACCTGTCAGCTGCCAGTGAGCTGTGAAGACTGGCATTCTGAAGTGGGGCTCAGACACTTACAATCATGTTAAGTGATTGTAATCATGTATGTTTTTGTGGCGTGGGATGCTTTAGCCTGTTGTGTTGGGGATTTTTGTTACTGTGTTGAGGATTTTTGTTTGCATCAATAAAAAGATGCCTTGTGTTGGAAAGATGACTGCTTGCATCAGTCATTTATCGGAAGGCTATCTGTGTCGTCCTGTTATTTCCTGAGCCACCTGGGAGACCCATGCCTGATGAGAACAGATGCTTTAATAGATGGGTTGTTTTGAAGGGCCCTTTAATAAACCCAGAAAGGGGCACTAAGGGTGTGTCTACACAGCAAAGTTATTTTGAAATAAGGCGTGTGTAGACTCTTCACTTCTGCTATTTTGAAATAGCCCCTCACCAGGGCCATTCTAAGTTATTCCTCCTGGGGCTCTAAATCAAGAAAGCACATCTACATTAGGGAAGCCTGCCTTGGACTAATTGTGAGGCTTCCCTGCAGTGTAGACGTACTATTTTGGAATCGCTGATCCCGAAATAACTGTGCAGTGTAGAGGTAGCCTAAGTGAGTTACTCTGGGGTGAGCTATTCTGTTTTTAGGGTAAAAAAGGTTCCCACTGGCAGGAAGACTTTTGGAGAGAGCTCTGCAGGGACCCTACACCCGGGCTACGTCTACACTGGCCCCTTTTCCGAAAGGGGCATGCTAATTTTACAGGTCGTAATAGGGAAATCCGCGGGGGATTTAAATATCCCCCGCGGCATTTAAATAAAAATGTCCGCCGCTTTTTTCCGGCTTTTAGAAAAGCCGGAAAAGAGCGTCTACACTGGCCCCGATCCTCCGGAAAAAAGCCCTTTTCCGGAGATCTCTTATTCCTACTTTGAAGTAGGACCTTTGAAGTAGAACCTTTTTTAACTTTGAAGTAGGAATAAGAGATCTCCGGAAAAGGGCTTTTTTTCCGGAGGATCGGGGCCAGTGTAGACGCTCTTTTCCGGCTTTTCTAAAAGCCGGAAAAAAGCGGCGGACATTTTTATTTAAATGCCGCGGGGGATATTTAAATCCCCCGCGGATTTCCCTATTACGACCTGTAAAATTAGCATGCCCCTTTCGGAAAAGGGGCCAGTGTAGACGTAGCTCCGGTGTACTACTCCCACTCTGCAGATGGATAATGGCTTTACCTCAGGTCCTATATCAATGGTGGGCAACCTGTGGCCCATGAGCTGCATGCAGCTCATTAGAATAAGCCACTGGCAGGCCTCCAGACAGGTTGTTTACCTTGCATCTGCAGGTAGGGCCATCTGCAGCTTTCATTGGCCGCAGTCCAGCATCCAGACCAATTAGCGCTGCAGGAAGTGATGGCCAGCAAGTCTCTGTGGCCTGTGCCACTTCCTGCAGTTCCCATTGCCCAGAAACAGCAAGTCGTGGCCAATGGGAGCTGTGGACAGCCATACCTGCAGATGCAAGGTAAACAACCTGTCTAGTGGCCTGCTACCTGCTTACCTTGACCAGCTGTATGTGGCCTGTGGACTTCAGGTTTCCCACTACTTGGCTTGTCATTTCCTAACTAGCGCCTCTCCTCAAATGGCAGGGTTTAGTGCTGCTTTTGGAGCCAGTGGTGCTTCTCCTTAACTGAGTTAATAAGAAATAAAGTCAATTTAGTTCTACTTTATTTGGAGTGATTAGCTTAAGCCTCATTAAAAAATGTCAAGAGAGAAGAACACTGTCACGGGATAATGATCACCTGCTGTTACATAAATGTCAGGACAAAGCTGTGACTTATTTTCAAAGCAGGAGACATTGATCTTGTGGCAACATTCTCTTAAAATAACTTTCATCCCTGCTGTACCAAGTGATGAAGTAAATTGTCTGATGCTGGTGCAGCAGAGAGGAAGTGACTCACTATACAGTTAGTAGTTCTGTACTACGGTGATGGGCTTTCAGCCATGGGACTCATTCTGTGGACACTTCATATGAGACAGACAGAAAATAACTCTATCATGGACTTGTCCTCTTTGAAGTTCTTTCACCACATTGCTTTAGAAGGGTTCCACTCTGCAGACTGTTAGAAAGAGCTCTGTGAAATGTCTGATAACCACAGCTTCCAGGACAGACGTGTTTGGCCTGATTCTGAGCTCGGAAAAGTCAGTGGCAACAGAACTTGTCCCACTGTAGGTATGGCTAGTCACAATCCATTTTATCCAAAAGATGCTCATGCTCGCTCGCTCTCCACTCTCCCCCTCCCCCACACTTCATGACTAAGCAGGTTTCTGATTAGCTGACTCGGCTTTATCGTTTTCTTTTTATCAGTTAATGATCATCGTCAGCTGTCTGCCTGGGGCAGAGTACATTTGCTGTAGTTATGGTAACTATATCAGATTTCTAGTTTTCTGTATTAAATTGTCCTCGCTACAGCAATCTTACAAAATTATCTTAAATGCGCCAACCTAAACACAGTATCTACTTTATTCTCCATACTATGGGGACTAATGATAACAAAAACCAAACAAACTATATTTTAGTTGCTTCTGGTGAGTGGAATTTTTAAACGGATGCGCTACCAAATGAAAGTTTAAATCAACACACTGATACTATAATTATTTGTTAATTCCATTTGAAATGAATGGGTAGCTAGGCATGAGTTACTTAATAAATGTTACAAACCTACCTGCAAAATCAAATGCTTTGAAAGGGGATTCTAGATCAAATACATATGTACTCACATGATACGGATTTTCTGGATTAAAGTTTGACCTAGAATCTTGCTCGTTGAGACCAGTGGTGTTAGGCTGGTGTTCAGGTCTCTGAACACGCTGGGTAGTAGGTGACCTGGTATTTACTACTTGAGTAGTGGCTTCATTTTGGTCCAGATCAAAGTTTGATTGAGCCTGACGTATTTTTCTTTTGATTTCTCGCTTCCTTCTTTGGTTATCTGAAAAAACAGTCAGAGGAGTACATGGGTTTTCTAAAACACCTTCTTCCGTTGATTCAAGGACATTCATGAAAGTAGAATTATTACACATTCATGAAAGTGGAATTGCACAGCAGTTTTGCAAAGATTATTAGACTTCACATGGGAGCTACTTGTCTTTCCACCTGTTTCATATGCAGTCTATATAATTCACACTCTATGCATGTGAGATTTGTCTTTTTTCCCAAAGAACAGGTTTGACTCAGTGAGTGGCCAGTGATGCTAAAAGAAATTAACAGCTCCTGCCAGCACTCAATCAGAGCAACTACCTTCCTGCCGTTCATGTGCATTTTTGACAGAAAAAGAAACATTCGGAAGAATATACACTTCTGTCCAGCCGCAAAGGCCCTTATTTTAAAAATGATTTAAAACACTCCTGGCCAACTTTGACAATACCGGTGGTCCCCGAGTTATGAATTTGTCAACTTATGACCGTTCAGACTTACCACCAACCTCCCATTAAGCGCATTACAGCCGGTCCCCGAGTTACAAACGCAAGATCCGCGCTTACGAACAGCGCGGTCACATTTAAATGAATGGAGTCCGACTTACAAACAGATCAAGTTATGACCAAGTGTTTGGTATGTAACTCGTTCGTAAATCGGGGGCTATCTGTACTCTTTTGATGCATAATGGCCCTGTGCAAAGCCAGTGGAAAACTTTGATCAAGCAAATTTGGCTCCCATTTGTTATGGAAAATATAAGCAAGATTTATCCCCAAAATACTCAATATTAACACCTCTTTCACTCTTTTAATCAGTATTTTGTATGTGCAATTCTGATCAGTACTTTGTATCTCAGTATTAAACCTCTGGGTATGTCTACGAAACAGCCGAGAGGTATAATTCTCGGCTTGGACAGATGAACATACATGAGCTTTGCTCAAACTAGCATGCTAAATATAGCAGTGTAGTCACTGACATCTTGGGTCAGCCATCTGAGTACAGTCCTGCCTGAGCCCCTGGCTACATAGTCATGCAGCTAGTCTGAGCTGCTGCCCATACTGCAGTGGCCACACTGCTATTTTTAGACGTCAGCTTGAGCAGAGCTAGTGCACTTATGGCTGCCCGAGCTGAGAAGTACAGCTGAGAGCTCTACCCTTAGAGCACCACCAGGGCCATCCCTGGGGCAGCGCGTTTTGTAAGTGAAAGAAAAATTACCTTTTGGGTATGTTGGTCGAAGCCAGAAAATAGGAAGATCTCCACAAAGCTCTAAAATTTTGGCACTTAGAAAGCTGTTATCTTTTACAGGCTGGTCGGCAGCCACCCAGATAAGGGAATTTTCATCAAATTTAACTGGCATAATTTCATCTTCCTATAAGTATGCAACATAAAAATCCATTGTTAGTTCATTTAAGAGTTTTGGGTATTCTGTACATGTAATTTTCTGTTAGTAGCCAAACATAGAAGTTCATTTGGAACTGATATGAAATGTTGTTCTAAAGGGTGCTATTTTGTTTTATGAACCACATGCAGCCAAAACTTGGTCCTGCGGAAATCAACGGAAAAAACATCTTGAGTGAAATTCTGCACCATTGCAATAAATGGCCAAACAACCTGGATTTCACCCCATTATCTGTAATGGGGCTAGTGTCAGCCCATGAGGCCAGATTCTCAGCTGGTGTACTTTGGTGTAGATCCATTGATGTCAGCAGAACAATACTGATTTATACCAGCTAAGAATCTGGCGCAATATTTTAGGTATGTTTGTTTGCATTGTTCTGATTTCATATAAATGTTAGGATACTTCTGTGATAGACACAAGTCATATTCCTGAGAGTTAATGAAAGTTTTAGTCTGTATGCAGCTACAATTTTAATTTAATATGATGGGTCAGATTAAAGGTCTTGTTCAGTAATAGCAATTCAATTGACCAAAAGCCAGAAGTTAAAGGAGCCCTCATTTCGAAATGTATTTTGCAGGTTTTAGGTACATATCTTCAAAGTAATATAGGAAAATGTCAGCAATTGATTCTTTATAGTTCAAAGTATTATTTTACATAAAACATATTAGCTATTTCTTAGCAGCAATGAAGCATCTTTAAAAAGACCAGTTCATCAAGAAAATCAATATGATTTTGAAGTAAAACTTTTGAATTGCCTCCATATAATTATCTGATATTTGGATTGATTACTCACTAGATCAATTTATTTTGCCAAGTTGTTCCTTTAATGTATTTATTGATTTTTGTAGAATGTCTTGAGTCATCTAAATTCACTACCCTGTGAAAGCAGCACATCATTTATAGCCTCCCATATGGGTTTTTGCCAGCACCTGAAATAATTTAACTGGAGCTAACTTTTGAAGATAAAAAGAATCCAGTTGTTTATCTTAAATGAAATTACCTCAAACTTGTGGGCAAATATACTTTAGATAGCTGTAAAGTTATTTTAATTGACCTTTTCATATTCAGTGTTGGTCACGATCAAACATGCATTAGACCAGAAATCTTAAAATTAGACAGCAAAGAAAGTTTAATGTTCTAGCAACAGCATTAAGTTGTGTTGGGTTGCACATCACATATACTTACTTGATGCATGTTTTATGACAGAAACCGCAAAATTAATACATCTTTTAAAAATTACCCAGAAAGCAGGAACAGAACATACCACACATCTGTAATGTGACCAAGTTAATATTAAATTAGAACCTTAACTTTGCAAACCTGACTGCAAATATTTTTCAACAGTGGAAATTTAACATTGGATCGATGATATGTCCTTTTATTTTTCAATAAAAAGAAATTGCCTGTGCTTAATTATATTAAATTATTCCAGTTATGCCATGAAGTCCATATATCCTTAAAATAATGAGGGTGGATAGAGGCGAGCTTGGTGCCTACCTCTAGGGACTGATCTGAAGCCAACTGAAGTCACTGGAAATTTTCCAATTGACATCAGTGGACTTTGGATATGACCTCTGGCACTTTCCTTGTTCGCTCTAGAAAATTGTCTTTCTTTTTAAGTAAGTGAGTATTAATTATAGCATATTCTAGAGCAGTGTTTCTCAAAGTAGTATGCGGACCCATTCTGAGAAAGCTGCTACCAGGCCACTCGGGTTTGTTTACTTACCAGCTCTGCAGCCAAAGAGCCTTGTGGCTCCCATTGGCTGTGGTTCACCATTTGCAGCCAAGGGAAGCCGCAGGAAGCAGCAGCCCAGGTCACACGCAGCTCCCTTTGGCTGCAAATGGCAAACCGTAGCCACTGGGAGCTGCAAGGCTCTATGGCTACAGAGCCAGTACGTAAACAAACCAGAGCGGCCTGGTAGCAGCTTTCTCAGAGTGGGTCCGGGGACCACTTAGAGAAACACTGTTTTAGAGTACAACAAAAAGGCAGAGTTGGAACATCCTCATTTTAGAGGTTCCATAATTTTTGTACACCATGATTTTTTCCTGTCCTGATAATTTTGGTGGGGGGATGATTATTCTGTGTGTCTCAGTAAGATATTTACAGTCTTTCTCTCTCATGCACCCCCATTCCAGTAACAGCAGAAGCAGTGCCAAGCAGTACCGCACCCCCAGAAGCACTCCCTCCTCCCTTCCACAGTGTCAATAAGATCTACAGGTTGAACCTCTGTAAACTAGGACTCTCTGGTCTGGCAACATCTGTGGTCTGACAGCACCATGAATGTTCCAGGATCAGAGTCCCAGTGGAGGGCTGGTGCCTAGGAGCCCTGCGATCGGGCAGGATTGTAGGCTGCTGGCAGTGGGGCCAGAAGCCTAGATCCCCACAGCTGGGCAGCCAGGCACGCCCTAGTGGGTCTGCCTGGTGGGACCGGGAACTTGGCACACCTCAGTGTGGCTGTTCAGCTTGGGTGCTCAGTGCGCCCCAGCAGGTCTGCCTGGGGGAAAGACGGGTGGAGACTAGCAAGGCCTATGGCTGGGGCCGGGCCGGGGGGGGAGGGCGGCAGGCAGTGGTCCAGTGCTGGGGGGGAAGGCTGGCAGCAAGGAGGCCAGAAATGACTTCCCCTGGTCCCACAAAATCCCTAATCCAGGATTGGTTAGGTCCCGAGGGTGCCAGATTGAGGAGGTCCAACCTGTACAAGTTCATTTGATACTGATATTTAAATGACTTTTAAAATCCATATTTATGTGGGGTTAAGTAGCTTTTAAAAATGTCCAGTGCTGGGGGGGAAGGCTGGCAGCAAGGAGGCCAGAAATGACTTCCCCTGGTCCCACAAAATCCCTAATCCAGGATTGGTTAGGTCCCGAGGGTGCCAGATTGAGGAGGTCCAACCTGTACAAGTTCATTTGATACTGATATTTAAATGACTTTTAAAATCCATATTTATGTGGGGTTAAGTAGCTTTTAAAAATTGCTCCTTACCAGATCAAATGAGAGGCTTTCTTTAGTCATGGTACTGACATCAGGGATGTGAGCTTTAGCTTGTGCTTTAATGTAGCATTTCTCTCCTCCAGCAAAACGAATTCCAGTGATGCCCTACAAAATAGTCCTTTTGGGGTTACAGGCATTGACATTTCATCCAATTGTTTAAAACAAAACAATATAAACTGTGTTCATGTAACATTAAGGTAGTCACTGAATTTGTTAAAAAAATAACAATCAGAACTGACAACGTTCTTTGATGTTTTTTTAAAAATAAGTCTAAAATTGACCCAAATTCTGTTGTATCACTATTTTAGCTGTTAAAAAATTAAACAAACAGGGCAAAATTTGAATTTGAATTTAGGCACCAAAAGAAGTGGCCCAATTTCAAAGGTGCTGAACAACTGCAACTTCCACTGGAGAGGGCCTGTCTAGACTAGGAAAAAAGGAGTTTGCTAACATAATTTGAAACATCATTTAGCATCTAAATATTGATGTAGGTTAACATTATTAAAATCAAGTTAGCTGCTTGGGCTGTATCCTAGTAACTTCTTCCTAGTCTAGACAGACCTCTGAACTTTACCTATGAAAAATCAGGTCCCATATTTACTAGTAGGTGCCACAGATATGTGTGTAGGTGCCTTACTTTAGACATTCAACTTTGATATTTTTGATACAGTGATACTTTTTATATACACAAGTTCACAATGAAAGGAGAACCAAGACAGAATTCCAGTGTTGTTGTAATTACGGAGTTGCTACATAAATGACACAAAGTCTCTGAATTTCAAACATATTGAAATTGGAGGCCATTCATTGAGATAGGGAAGCCTAAGTCTTCTCCCTCCAATTTAAATGTAGCATTTTCTGTGCTGACATATAGGTTTGGTTCTCCCTACAAGATGCAGAGAGCCTGCTCCTGCAATCTCAGCAATTGTCTTGTCCTATCCACCATTTTGTTCTTGAGAGGAAATAGGTGAACAGATTTTTATGCACGAGCTATACCATGACAAGTGCTTGGTCCATTTGCTTTCCTGATATTTGACACCTGGCACTCAGCAACTCAAGGCAGTTATAATATTTTCTGCTTGTTTCTTCTGCCGCATTCATCAGCCTAATGCACAACATGCTTGGTGTCTGTGGTGGAATGTTTTGGCTGCACTTATCCAGCAGTTCATAGTTGTCATAAGGATACAAGAATGGAATAATTCATTGACTCTCCACTGAGTTGAGACTTCTGTGCAGATGTAGAATAGTGAAGACATTTTAATCCAGTTGCCAATAATGTTGTTAACTTGATGTTACTACAAGATTTACAACGGCTGAAGAGCAGCTGTCAGATGATTTGGGGGTTATGCATCACACGTGTGTGTGTGCATTGATCTCCCAGGTCTGTGCAGAATCAGAATCCAGTTACCTCCTTAGTCATGGACCCAATAGATGGGGGGAAGAGCAAGGCCAAGAAGACCCACATATTTCCCTCACCAACGCTACCTGTAGATAGTGGTTTATTTTGTTTTAGATGCTGCTTCTACCTCATGTAGGCCTCAACCTTGCTCCCTTTGAAGTTAATGAGAGTTTTGCCATCAACTTCAATGAGTGTAGGACTGGGCCCCTTAGGATATGTCTGTCCTTCAATTAAAAATCCATGGCTGGCCCATGACAGCTGACTCAGGCTTGCAGGGGTCAGGCTAAGGAGCTGTTTATGGTGTAGATGTTTGAGCCCCACCTCTCAGGCTCCTAAAGCCTAGTCTCCAGCCCCAGCTTGAAGGTCTATCCCACGACTAAACAGCACTTTAACCCTAGCCTCATAGGGCCAAGTCAGCTGGCATGGTGCCAGCTGTGGGTTTGTAACTTCAGTGTAGACAAACCTTCAGAGCTCAACACTGGAGAATATCTTATCTGAAAGACCTGTCAAATGTACTTACTATCTGGAAATCGTGAACTTCTATAGCTTCTTCGTCTCCGCTTCCAGTTTTAAAGGTCTCTAGGTTGTTCCCAGAATCTATTTCCATTGATCCCTCTTGTACTTTTCCATTAATACTCATAGTATAATGAACATTGTAAATCTGTAATTAAATACAGAACATTAGCACACATCTTTGTATCTTCCAAGTTAACATCAAGCACAAGTCTAGTGCCAATTAAGGAGGTAAAAATGTGTTTAAAAATTTAACCATGTAACCGCTAAAACTCCAAGTGGTTACATGTGCTGTGGGCTCCACAGTATAAATCTTAAATAAGCTTTATACTGCAGAGCCCACAGCAAAGTCTTACCAGGAGCGGGGGCAGGACTGCTGCCAGCACTACTCTGGGAGAGGCTTCACTGCGGGCTCTGCAGCCGGCTCCCTGGGAGCTGGCGTGTAACCTCTGGCGGGGGAATGCGGGGGTCTAAGTCTGAACAGGGACTGCTCCAGTGGGCCCCATGGAGTTCAAGCAGCCCCCTACCCAGGGCAAGTGGGGAGCTGCTCGAGCCCCTATTAGTTAACCAGAACTGATAAGCCTCACCTGTTAAGGGTGAGGCTCAACTGTTAATCTGTTAACCTTTTACATCCCTAGTGCCAATCTGACTGTCATGTCCATCTTCAGTTCCTAGCTTTTATCCATGGTTACACTTTTATTACAGGAACCCCAGCCGTCAAGATCATAAAACAGACTATGATGGTTTCAGGCAATATCAGTAATGACAGCTTTACATCCGTACACACTGCATGTGGAATAATTTGGTTCCAGGGTTACATGGGATTTGGGAACTGGTCTAAATCATATTGTATGGAAAGAAAAGAAAGAGCTCTTTCCCCCCAGAGGTCATACCCACTGTCCTCCTAAGTTTGATTTGTGGGGATCCACTCTTGCTTGGAGAAATCATTTGATACTGTGTAGGTACTTAGAGAGTCTCTTGAATTCAGCAGGCAGCATGTGGTTGTCTCTTAGTAAAGTGAGCTTTGTTTAAATATCATATAGATTTTTTTCACACTGTATCAAATAAAATGCTTGCTCCTACCTTTTGCAATGATGAAAAGCTACAGTATATCTTGCAGTTGCCAGCCCTTGGTTATTCTTTTTCATTATACAATACTGTCATCAGTACCACCACAAGGAATTTTACTTTTATTCTTAAAAAGTTTGTATATAAACAAAGTTTCAATAAAGTCCACAATATAGCCTAGAAATCAATTTTTTCCTACTTGTAACTCTTTGATAGGGAAAAAAATTAAGATACTAAAGGTAATTGTCCTTTATAAACAGAGATTCAATCCGTATTATTCATGCATCCAAAACTTCCACTGAATTCTTGCATGAGGAATGCAAGATTGGGTCTATACATATATAGTATTTAATTCTAGGGCTGTCAAGCAATTAAAACAATTAATCACAATTAATCACGCAATTAAAAAAATTAATCATGATTAATCACATGCTGATTAATCCCCAGCTGATGCCAGGCTGCATTGTGCTGCCCCTTTGAAAGCCCAGGGCAGCACTTCAAAGGGGCAGTGCCGCACAGCTGACCCCAGGTGCTGCCCCTTTGAAACTTCTTGGTGGCATTTTAAAGGGCCAGTGCTGGGGAAATGCCTACAATTAACACGTTAAAAAATTAATGCATTAATTGTGCTCTGCGTTAATCACAGGCATTAACACATATTAATTGAAAGCCCTACTTAATTCTATATCCAAGGAACATAGACTGAGCTGGTATAAGATAACACTTTTTTGTGAGCCCCATTCACTGCAGTAGAATTCTAGGTTTCTATATATATATATATAGATATAAAATCATAAATCTATATATATAATCTAATGGTGACAAAGAAAATCTTCCAAATGCGAATCACCAAAGCATTGGCTTTCTGAGTCTGAGGGCAGTCTGGAATTATAGCTCTTAATGCCCCAATCTTCTCAACTTGGTTTGATTGTGCAGCTTAAGGTTGACATTTTATCTGTTTCTGTATTAATTAGAATATGCTTGAATTGTTTTTTTTAAAGATTCAGTTCTTAAGTGATGACATTACTATCAGCTTCCTGACATGGGAAAAGAATCTTAGGTGAGGGAACAGAAACCCACTTACTAATAAGATACTTTTAATGCATCTATTTGATCAAAAAGCAAATATTTGCTAAAATAATGCAAGTGTTACAAAACTATATAGGCCAAGATGAGAGACTGTCCTATAATCAATCTACTAGCTATTTATCAGAAATACCAGCACAACCTCAACTATTAATACTTTAGCCACTCTTTAGCCAGTCTTCCTATTCATGCTCCTTTCCCTTTTCAAAAGCCTGGAAAAGTAAATGGATCTTACATTGTGTCCGGAAGCTGCCTGTCTTGTTACTATGTAACTTCTTTCTTCTCTCTCTAGCTTTTGGGTTTGCTATAAATTGTCTTTACAAAAATAATTAAATGTCAACAGTTGTTCCCTCCAGGCTAAAATATACACCAGACAAACACTTTGCCTACAAATTAAGGGATCTATTGCATTCCTTACTCTGACAAGCTCCTAACAAAGTAAATAGGAGTCTTGCCTGAATCAGGAGTGCAGAATAGGCTCCTTGGTAAATTCAAGGAGATTCATTGTTCTTGTCACTGATGAGCAAATGAAACCAAAATTCACATAATCTGGCATTTCATATTTTAAAAATCTTTGAAATCATAAAGGAAATATAATATTTGGAATTAGTCTGATGATCACGACACCTTGAAAGTTTGCTTCTTGAAACTAACCACCCCAGTTTCCAATGCTACCCTTTTTGACACAGGATTTTGTCATGTAGCCTAAGTTCAGAAAAGTTCTCTCCACTCAAATATAAATTATCAAGATTTTTTAAATAATTTTGCAACTAATATGCTACAAGCTCTTGTGTCCATATTCAGTACACATTTAAACTACCAGGAAAATAGTGAAATAATGTTGGTCCTTAATCAAACCTACAAATAGATTAAATAGCACATTGCACTACATATTTAAGTGTCAAAGTACGATCTGCAATCAGCATTTAGATGATGTGGCATGTAAAATTAATGTATTTCTTTCACCATCATTTTGTCCTGATGCTTAGAATTTGCCCATTATGTGAATCTCCTGGGAAAGGATTGGTGAATGTTCTGAAGATGTTTGAGCAAAAGTAAATGTATCTTTTTTCTGTGAACTCAAGGATTCACTTTACATTTATTCCTAAAATCAGCTTCCACCATGCTACACCAAGTGGACAGGAAAGAAAAGAGTTTTTATTCTGGGGGAAAGGGGAGGAGTATGCTACTTACAGAATTTAGCAACCCCCAATCAAGAAATATTTCCAATGTGATTGTGATTCTCATTAAATTCACACAGTTAATTTAAAAATTGGCTTACTGGAAACAAAATGTAAATACTTGGGCACAGAATTATTGTGTTTGTTTCATCTAGTTCATCTCATACTTGACTTTAAACCAGATTTAAAAACTTCAGTGCAGCATTAGGTTATTACAAGACTGCAACTATCCTGCCTGGTAAACAGATGAGTTTACTGTTATAATTGAAATCTCCTGCCTACCTTTGTTTAATTATTGCCTTCCCAGCTAGCAATACTCGAAGTAGGTGATGGGTAGAGAGGATGCACAAAGGGTCACGTGTCTCTCAAACAATTAGTGGGGTTGGGTCTGGCACCCACAGAAGGGCTTTGGCCTCCCCACACTCACCTGTAGCAACAGAGAAAGCAGAGCAAGGTGGCCCCAACTGCTTTGCTCTCCCTGCTCTGGAGGAGAGGACAGGACTGCCCCCACACTCCTAGGCAGAAAATGGAGGGATGCAGCAGCTAAGGGAGCAAAGCACCTGAAGTCACCGTGCTCTGCTTCCCCCACTGCTGACAGTAATGTGGGGGGAGGGACAGTGGACCCCTTCTGCCAGTGCCAGTAGGGCTGCCAGGTATCAGGCTTTGAATCAGACAGTCCAGTATTTGAGCTTTCTGTTCGGGAAACAAATTGAGAAAATATAAATGTCTGGTATTTTCTAAATAAGATGTAATGTAGATTGTGATGTAATGTCAAGTGTGTCTGGTATTTTTGTTGAAACCATATGGCAACCCTACGTACTAGCCCCATTAGTCCCCAGGCCGCCTTGGCTGGGGAAGAAGGGAAGCAGGGGTGGAGCAAAAGCAGGGAAGAAGTGGGGAGAGGGTGGAGGAAGGGCAGGGAGAGGCGGGACGGGACAGAGGGAGATTGTCCCACTCCCAGTCCTTCCCCTAGTTGGAGGGAGGATGTAATGTGGCCAGTAGCCTCTGCCTCTCCTCCCCTTCCAGTCACCGCTAGCTGTAGATGATCCAGTTTTCACTACTCCAAGACTGATCTTTCCCCTGAGTGTTGTTCCTCTAGATTTTCTACCTCACCCATTTCTGAACATTCACCCTCTAGATGGCCCTCCCTACGTCCCCTCCTCCCCAGCCACGGGCACCAGTGGCCTATGGCAGTCTGAATGTGTGTGTGTGTGGGGCGGGGGGGAAGATGGCTCGTTTAGCACTCTAATCGCCTTTTGTAGCTAAGCTTTCTGGATCTTAACTCTCAACCTGAGCAAGTGAGCAAGGGCCCGGCCCAGCCGGCAGCCGCTCCCCCGCCCCTCTCTCTCTTTAATCAGGCCAGTTTCCCAACCGTTTCGAGAGCAGGGACCAGCTTGCTGCTGCCTTCCTGAACTCCGTCAGGGAGCTCTCCGGGACCAGAGCCACTCCACAGACTGGTCCTTGAGGAATAGTGATAGAAATGTAGCCTTGTTAGTCTGGGGTAGTTGAAGCAAAATGCAGGACAATGTAGCACTTTAAAGACTAACAAGATGGTTTATTAGATGATGAGCTTTCGTGGGCCAGACCCACTTCCTCAGATCAAATAGTGGAAGAAAATAGTCACAACCATATATAACAAAGGATACAATTTAAAAAAAAAGTGAACACATATGAAAAGGACAAATCACATTTCAGAACAGAAGGAGGATGC